AGCAGATTGATCTGGGGGCATCCAAAGCTACCAAGCACATCCCCCAGGTGGTGGATGGGGAGTGTCATGTGGGCAGCTCTGAATAGGGTGACCAGATGTCCCGATTTTATAGGAACAGTCCTGATTTTTGGGTCTTTTTCTTATATAGGCTCCTATTACCCCCCACCCTCATCCCGATTTTTCACATTTGCTGTCTGGTCGCCCTAGCTCTGAATAATGAATAAGGAGCCGTGGACCTTAGGTTGTACTTAGGGCTGGTAATCTCGTAAAAACAAATGTACCACAGAAAACTTACTACCGGAGCCATATTGGTATGCAGCAGGCTCGAACACGAGATCAACTTCAATTGAAGAATATGATGGACATTGCCCAAACCCATAAGGAAATCCATGTCCTGAAAAGTCCTGTTGCTCAAGGCCAGGTCAGTAATGAAAATCAGATTTTGGAATCTAAGAACAGTGTATGAAGCTACGAAAACTGCTCAAGTAATTAAAGAAATGGATAGATACCATCTTGATGTCCTTGGAATCAGCAAGTGTAGATGGACAGGTTCAAACAAACACCACTTTAGAGAAACAAATAAGACATCATCTACACCTGAACATCGGTAGTAGACAGGACGCTAGCATAGCAATCTAAATGGTGAATGAAGCAGAGCAGGCACTGACTAAGTGGGAATCAGTCAATGAAAGAATTATTAGAGCTCACTTTCAGACTCGAGTCTTCAAACTAACCGTCATACAATGCTAGGGTGACCAGATGTCCCGATTTTATAGGGACAGTCCCGATTTTGGGGTCTTTTTCTTATATAGGCTCCTATTACCAAAAATCGGGACTGTCCCTATAAAATCAGGACATCTGGTCACCCTAGCAATGCTATGCACCAGGGAACAAAAAGCCAGATGAGTAACATTCTTTTTAGGATTTGTTATAGGATGTGTTAATCCAGGTCCCAAAACATGGTATCCTAGTGACTATAGACGATTTTAGCGCAAATGTTGGCAGTAACAACAATGGGTTGGATAAAGTTATGGTCAAGTGCAGCAGGGATTTGGACATGAACCAAAATGGTGTACGGTTAGTAGAAATTTGCAGTGTAAACAACACTGTGATAGGTAGAACAGTATTTCCTCATAATGAAATCCATAAGGTGATATGGAATTCCCCAGACAGTACTACAAAGAACCAGACAGAAAACGTATGCATTTCAGTAATGTTTTGCAGCTCATTAGCAGATGTATGTGGGTACAGGGGAGCAGATGTGGGCAGTGACCACAGTCTTTTTATCACTAAGTTGAATATCAAGTTAAATAGAATGAAAAGGTTAAAAGAAGACCTCACATCAACAGTGCACCATTAAAAGACCCAAACACAAAAAGTGCTTTTCAACTTGAACTGAAGAACAGGTTCAGTGTTCTAATAGAGTTAACTGAAGAAAACTAAGAGACACTGATACTCTGTGGGAAAACATCAAAGACTGCTATCTAAAAAGAGCTAAGATGATTCCAACAACAATGAAATCTAAAACGGAAGAATGGATTAGCAATGCTACTTGGGCAACAGTGAAAAAGAGAAGTGTAAAGCAAAGAACTCATGCAGGCTAAGAGAATGCATGTGGTAAGAAGCATACAGAAGTTCGGATAGAGAGGTAAAAAGGAACACTAGAAAAGCTAAAAGGGCATATATTGATTAAAAAAACATCAAGAGGCTGAAGATGCTTGCTCAAGACATGACCTTACAACCTTGTATAAGATAATTAAACAGCTAACAGGAAACTTTAGCAGTGCTGGAGGCCCTATTAAAGATGCAAATGAAAAGACTCTTAGTATAGAAGAAGAACACAGGAAAAAAATGGGCAGAACATTTTCAGGCTGTTTTAAATAGACCAAGCCCAAGCAAACTACTAGAAATACATGATGAAGACCTACCACTAGAGCTTGATATTGATTCAGGAGATATAATAATGGGAAAAAAAGTTAGAAAAGCCATCAGTAAATGCAAAAATGGAAAAGCAGATAACATTACTGAATAGATACTTTAAAAGAGAGATACAATAGTCCTCCAGACTTTCCTTGTGTTTTTGGGTAGAATATGTAATGAAGAAAAGAACCCAACAGAGCTGGAAGAGAGGCTTTATAATGAAATTGCCAATTGCAATAACTGAAGGGGAATCACATTACTCTCAGTACCTGGAAAAATCATGGGCAACATCATCCTGGAAGATATCAAGAAACAACCAGATCTTCAACTTGGAAGGAACATCCAGGTTTTAGACCTTGAGATCAAGTGCAGACCATGCTGTTGTTCTCAGATGAATTACATAATTAAGTGAGGTGTGGCAAGCACCTCTTGTGATACATTTTATAGATTTCCAGAAGGCTTTTGACAGAGTACACAGAGACAGTCTTTAGAAAATTATAGCATTCTATGAAAAACCAGCAAAAATAATCAGAATCACCAAAGATCTATATAATGCTGAATGTGTAGTCGGAGATGGGGACAACATCAGTCAATGGTTTGAAGTGACAACTGGAGCAAGGCAAAGGTGTATTATATTCCCACTATTGTTTGCACTGGTCACTGACTGTCTTGAGAAAAGTAACTGCAGAAAGCAACCAAGGAATTTTATGGACAAATGACAAAGCACAACTGAATTACCTTGTTTTTGGTGAGGACACTGTCCTCCTTATTCAACATATCACTTAATGGAAGAAAAGCTTTAGGCAGATACAGCAAAACAAGTTGGCATGTTTATCAACAAGGGGAAGAAAAAATATATGGCAATCCGTGTTCCAAAAGTAATCCTTAGAGTGGAGGAAGAAACACTAAAAGAAGTCAGTCATTTTACCTATCTAGGGAGTGAGATGTGCAAGGACGGTGACACCATGCTAGATGTCAAACAACAAATATCAAAAACAGCAAACAGCTTTCATAAACTTGAAAAGATTTGGAAAAGTAGCTTGATTGGCATGGACATAAAATATAAATTTTTAACACCAGCATCCTGTCCCCCTTTATGGAACAGAGTTACTGAAGTTTACAACAGAAATTGAGAAGACCAATTCATTTCAAAGTAAATGCCTGCAGTAGATCTTCAGAGTCCATTCGAAAGTGCTTCTTTCAACATCAGAAATTCTAAGTAGACCAAGCCAATCTAAAACATCAAATATGGTAAGATATGGCAATTTAGGATATGCTTTAAGGATGTTACTAACACAACTTCCTTAGCAAGTAATAGTATGTACACCACCTGGAAAGAGAAAAAGAGGGCGACCTAGAGAAACATTATGCAGAACAATAAAGAAAGAAGCTAAATCCATCAACATGACAGAAACCTGAACAGACCAGCACAAGACTGAAATAAACAGCAGAAGCTGGCTGAGGCCCTATGCACCTGAGGGTGCAGGATGATAAAGAAAAAGAATAGCTGATTAATGTTACTTAAGCATTAATTATTCCACTTTTCTTTTACATAAGTCTGAAGGGCATGTCTTTCCAGCTCCCCGAAACACAGAAATCAGAGTGCAGAAGTGTGTATTATTATCTATGCTTGTGCCTCTGTGTATATATTCTATACTCTAGTAAACATAACTGCATGTTGAAAAACAGACATGCATACAAGCATGTTCAAATTTTAAAGGCATGCTTGTATGCACAATCCAGTGATAACAAGGAAAATTGCTTCCCTCTTTATTCGTACCAGCATAAATCTACAAATGGATGCCCCTTTCCTCATTCCTAGCTGTGGGGCTCAGCACCGCCCGGTGCCAACAAACCCTACTCCCACACCTGAAGATCTTCCTACCTCCCCCCTCTTTTCTCTCTCTCTCTTTTTTTTTTTTTTTTTTAAACCACAAAGAATAGGTGATCCCATTTGGAATTTTCAATGAAAGGACGGTAGTAGCCCCACTGACTTCAATGGCTCTGCTGGACTGGGGCTAGAGTAACCAGACACTTCTGGGATCGACACTTGAAGTCAGGGAGATCCTCCTCTCTGTTCTGTTCCTCTGTACACTTGAGGTGGCTTGTTGAAACAATCAACCTCTGTCTTTGAGTGTCCTCTATAGACGTATGATTCTTCACAATGAACGGTTACTCTAAACTGTAATGAATGGTGGGGAAAAGAAGTCTGCTACACCCACAAGACATTTGTTAAGTTACAGCATATATTAAAAATTCCACAGATACAAGTACAGTATCAGTTACCTACTGCTGCAAGAAGAGGCACAATTGTGCTCTCACACAGTACATGAACATTGCTGTTGATATACAGTTCAGAAAATAATCTTCCCTTTGTTAAAAAAGTGAGGTAATCTCATCTCTATTATGGTTCTGGCCATGAAACAGACAATAGACTAAAGATAAGAGAAGCAGGTTAGAGAAAAATTCAAGAGGTCAAGAGAGACCAGAGGGGGAATTCATTTATATACATATATTTAAAAAAAAAATCAAAACAAAAACATTATTGTAGTACATTAGAATCAGGGAAAAGAGGACTAGTAATGGTACAATTTGTCTGAGTAAATATGACCACCGAAGTGATGCTTTTTTTTTTTTAAACCAGCCAAAGTTTTAACACTTCAAATACACATCCTTCAGCCCATGTGCAATATCTTGTGTATGAAACATTAAAAAACAAAAAGTACAAAGTTGATCCATATTAAGATAATAGCTCCATACTTCACGGAAACAATACAGCTGCTGCAAGTTGTTTTGTCAAAGGTCTATTTAATAACATTTCCATACTATGAATTGATGTGTTATAATATAACGGCTCTCAAGGAGACGAATATGGATTTATACATTAGAACATAACAGCTCCAAAGGAACTGATAAAAACTATCAAATAAACTAATACATAATGTAAAAACTCAGCAGACTGCAAAAATGAATACCTAACCAATAAGGTGAATGCATATAAAGTCTGATACCAATTTATATCAAAATAATAGTCCACCTCTATTTAAAAAATAAATATATAAATCATTGAGTGTCCTTACCAGAACTACTCTCTGAAACCTCACAAAATTGTGATGTGGCAGCAGTGCAGCCCTTGGTATTACACCACCTGTAACACAAACCATATTATGATACTTTCTGTCAATATATATTTGAAAGAATGATGGAAATAGTATAAGAGATATTTTTCTACTAGTCTTTTTTGCTGAATCTATTAAAGCAACATTCATAGTTTCCTAAGGGGCAAACCAAAATATTACACAAATAGCCGTATCTTAATTGCTTTAGGAGTATATGTTCATGTTAAAAAAAAAAAGGAAATTCTAAGTAAAGTTTCAACTCTATTCTTGCCTCCTGCTTTTATGATAAAAACAGAAGCATTAGTTTCAGATTAGAAAGTTAGAAGTGCCAAAAAATTCCATTCAGGCTGATTGCTCAGGATGACTACCTAGAATTTTACAACAATCCAACTTAATCATTACCAACGTCTAAGTAATGAGACAACAACTTAGTGTGGACTACAATGGCAAAATAATTTCCAAGACGACTAAACATTATGCCAACTATGGATGTTCTCTTACGGTTTTTATTACTTTATGTTTCTGATCGTTTCATCTCTTCAGCTACATCGCCAGTTTAACAATATTTTTACATAGGAATTTCCACAGGTATGGGGGTTAAAATATAAAGCGGTCAAGAAAAAAATTGGTTCCTCGGTCATAGAACTATTTATGTTGCACCATATAAATTAACATTATAGGTGTTGCAAATCATGACTATGTGTTTACTTGAACTGTTCCAACATTTTTCAACCTGGCCACTTTGGAAATGGACTTTAAGGAGGGTGACCATATTTCCCTATGCTGAATACGGGACACCTGGTAAAATTACAGTAACTCCTCACTTAACGTTGTAGTTATGTTCCTGAAAAATGCGACTTTAAGCTAAACGATGTTAAGTGAATCCAATTTCCCCATAAGAATTAATGTAAATGAGGGGGTTAGGTTCCAGGGAATTTTTAAACGTGTGTATGTATATATATACACATACACACACACACACACACACACTCACTCTATAAGTTTTAAACAAACAATTTAATACTGGTACACAGTGATGATGATTGTGAAGCTTGGTTGAGGTGGAGGAGTCAGAGGGTGGGATATTTTCCAGGGAATGTCTTGCTGCTAAATGATGAACTAGCAATTGGCTGAGCCCTCAAGGGTTAACTCTCACAGTCTACAAGGCAGCAGGAATGGAGAGAGGGGAGAGAGCATCGCAGACAGAGACACACACACACAGTGAGTGTGTGTGTGTGTGTGTGTGTGTGTGTGTGTGTGTGTGTGTGTGTG